TCATTTGCTCCCTCATTTCCGCATCTCCAGCATCTAGATGTCCGTACCTTTGCAAATTTCTGGATCTTATTGGGAGTCAAGTACCATCTATTAACTATTTTAAAATGTGATTCCTTAATATTTAGACAGTGTATCATAGAATAAACTGATTGTAAAGCCTTATACCAATCCTTTATATCAAATTTTTTTAACAAATCTCTTTCCCATTTGCTTTTAGCTATAGGATAGACAGGTCTTTTTATGCTTTTTATAACCTCAACACATCTAGTTAGTATTTTAATATTTTTCTCTAAGTCTATCAGAGCATTTAATTTAGATAATGTAAAAGAACTCATATTACTTCTGAGAGAGCTCTTAATCCTAATATAATTAAACGCTTGTGAATATGAAATACCATAAATTCTACGTATCTCAGTAAAGGGAATAATCTTCCCATCTACTAATAAGTCCGCTAATTTTTTAATGCCAAGTCTAGTCCATTCGGACGTATCCATATTTTCCATCCATATATCTAAATTTTAAAAAGTCAGAGCAGGTAAAACTTTATTTTTCCGATCTAATTGGTTTTTAAAATGGAATCAGAATTTTAGGAGAGGTCTAGTTATCATATTATCCGTCATGCATCTTATATTTTTAGTTCTACTATTATTTCTTGTAGGCCACATTAATCTAACGTTATTGTATGGATCTGTAATATCTGCGCCTTCTATTTTAAACCAATCTTGTGGACAATAATATTGTTTAATTAGAGGAAGAGTATGCATCAGCTGTGCCGCTCGGTGGTATAAGAAAATGTTAGGAAAACCAATCCCTCCTTCTTTATACTTCAGATAAAAGAGATCCTGGCCTATTCTAGGTTTCCTATTAGCCCATATGTAGTCCCTAAATATCTTATTCACAAGTCTAAGCCGCTGGGGATGGATCTGTAGAGGAATCATCCTCAATAAGTAAATAAATTTAGGAAAAACATATGACCTAATAAAATTAACCCTACCCCACCATGATAGCTGCAAAGCATTCCATTGTTTCAGCGAGTGAGAACATTCTCTAATGAGAGGAATTACATTCGCCTTCATTATATTCTCTGGGTCTTTCACTATATTGATTCCAAGATAAACAAATCCCCTTTCTTCCCATTTAAAGGCAAAATATTATTTTAGCAGTTGCAGTTCTTTCTCTTCCATATAAAAGGGCATAGCCATTGTTTTTTGAACATTAAGTTTATAGTTTGACAAATAACTATATCTTTTAATTACATGCATGGCAGCTGGTACTGACTTAATTGGGTTGGTTAGTGTTAATAAAGTATCATTGGCATATTGGCTTATCTTAAAATCTTTATCCCTTTTTTAAAATCCTGTTATATCCAAGTTGTTTCGTATTTCGTATGCTAAGGGTTCAGCCGTTAGGATATACAGTAGTGGGGAGAGAGGGCATCCTTGCCGGGTCCCATTTGATAACGTAAACCACTCTGACTTAATCCCCCCTCCTGCTATCCTGCTGGATGGTGAAGAGTAACATGCCATTATCGCCGAGAGAATCTGGCCTGAAAATCCAAACGCTTTTAAAGTTGATTGCATAAAATTCCATCCAACCCTATTGAATGCCTTTTCTCCATCTAGGGCCATCATTAAGAAAGGGGTTTTATTCTCATGGATCTTAGTAAATATATTTAATATCCTCCTAATATGATTAGAGGACGCCCTTCCTGGTATAAAACCCACCTGATCCTCTACAATCAGAGAAGCAATTATATTCTTAATTCTTTTCGCAATGATTGAGGCATAGATTTTATAGTCATTATTTAATAGGGCAATTGGTCGATAATTAGTTATTTCTTCTGGATTTTTAATTGGTTTTGTAAAATAGGGGTAATGTTGGCTACCAGCATTTCCATAGGTAATTTACCGGTGTTAATCGCTAAATTATAACATTCTGCCATCCCTTGGGTCAGTCTATCCTTATATATTTAAAAAAAAGAATCCGTGAAACCATCTGGACCTGGTGCTTTATTTTTTTTCATGGTATCTATCGAATCAATAACCTCTTGCAGTGATATCTCTGCATTTAGTTGAACTAATTGCAGCTCGTTTAGTTTAGGGATATGAATACTCATGAAATAGTTGTTTATATCCTCTTGAGATGATGTCGTTGATAAGTTATATAAATTGTAATAATCTCTGAATACCATTCCAATTTTCTTAGGCTCTAATATAGTTTCATTTCCCTGTTTTATTTTTGTAATTCATTTATTTTTTTGTTGATTTTTCACTTTATTAGTAAGAATCTTATCAGCCTTATTCCCCCTGTAATAATAGTTCACCCTCATAATCTGTAGATTTCTGTTTACTCTAGATATCAGAATTTCATTAATTTTTTTTTCTATAATCCTAATCTGGTTTGACATAGTTCATACGGGCGCAGTGATATTTTCCTTATAGCATTCACTCAGTTCAATATATAGACTGGACAGGGATTCTTGCCTATTTTTCTTATCTTTGGCTTCTAGACTAATTAAATGACCCCTAATTACGCTTTTAAATGTGCACCATTTTATGTCGGCAGACACTTCATTATTGTCATTGTCCTTCCAATACATATCTATCGCCTTGGCAATCTGTTCCCTATTCACTTTAGAGATTAATAGCTTATTATTTAGTTTCCAATCTGGTCTTTGCTTTATATTATTGTTCTTTAGTTGTATTTTTACCAAATTATGGTCAGACCACGTGACCGTACCTATATTTGTAGATTGCACATGTTCCAATAAGCTTCGATCCCCAAATATAAAATCTATTCTTGAATATGAGCAGTGCGTCTTACTAAAACAAGTGAAATCTTTCTCTGAAGGATGAAAAATCCTCCAGCAATCATAAAGCGCTTCATTTTGAATTATATTGCGAAATTGTTTTGCCAAATTAATAGCATTTCTCGAGGGATTTTTAATCCTTTCAGAGCTTCTGTCTAAATTAGGGTCAATTGTCAAATTGAAGTCACCCATGACGATAGTACGTCCTTGCTTAATTTTGTATAATTATACAAAGAATTTATATAGAAACTGAATCTGGGAAGTTTTCGGGGCATAAATATTCGCAATTGTGTATAATTGATCTTCTATTATACATATGAGAATAATCCATCTACCCATCTTATCAGTTTTCATGTGCTTGATAGAGAGATTTAATACTGATGGAAAAAAATGGCTACTCCTCTCTTTTGTTTATCTTTAAACGAGTAACAAACTGAAATAGGAAAGTCTTTAAAGCTAAATTTTGTCTCATCATCTCTCCGCCAGTGAGTCTCTTCTACTCCGACAACCTGCGCGTTTTCTCTTTTTGCACGTTCAAATAGTAGTCTCCTTTTTTGTGGAGAATTCAGGCCCTGAGCGTTAAACTGAAACAACACAGATCATATGTTTCTTATCCTACTTTTTCTTTCTCTTTCCATATCCTGTTATCTTTGTTTCCATTATACTGCCCATTTAGGCCCAAAGTCTCCCCCGAGTGGGTATCTCTTTCTTTCTTTGCTTCTGACTTATGTAGTTGAGTTTTATATTTCCTAACAGACTGCGTCAACTTATAACATACCAAACAACATACAACACTTACATAAAACACTAAATATAAAATAAACATCCCTTAAAGGAAGTATGGATGGGCCTGTGATTAACCCTCTTTCATAGAACCTCCAAATAGATCCTATTCGGGATCAGTATTTTGATGCTGAACCGCCCCCATCAGGGAATATTTTCACTCATATTATATAATATTGCCTTGAGTCATTAAATGATCAAATAAACACTCCTGATTGTTAATAAAAAAAAAAAACAAATAAAAAAAAAACATGTAATCCTAATTTATTATCATTGTAATTTCTGGCCCATAATCCATTTCTCTCCTCAAAAATCAAATATTTAAATATACTCCATCTATTTAAAATCAGTTACCCTTCAAGATGTCTTTAACAACACTTTCATTTCTATCTATGAGCCAGTATCAAAATCTAATGATCCTTACTTCTTATACGTTACTTTTCCTCTCAATAATTATACTTTAAACAGAAAAAAAAAAAAATATTATCAATTCCTGCACACATTGGCTTATACTCTCTGCATATTGTGAACACCAAAAATCATTAATCAAACCAGTGAATATCTATTCCCCTAACTTGCCTTTTACTTATTGCCCTTTTTTCCCCTTTCCTCCCTTACCCTTTACCATTAAACATACTCTTATTATCTATTTCTTTCAAATGATCCAAACTTTCTAAATATTAAAAAACCTCATTTAAATGATTATCTAAATCTAATTTTAAATACACACTTATTATAGTATTTCTATACTTCATATGTTCATTCTATAAAACGTTATCCCTCCTAATTCCATTAGTGATTTAAATATATAAAGTGTCCCGTATTGAGCATCATACTCAAGGATTTCCAATTTATATTTTTATAGATAATGTTCTCTTTTTCCCCTTTCTTTTCGTCCTCTCCTTCTTTTCCCTATGATATTATGCCCTCTATGAGTATCTTCTGAACCATCGAGAAAAAAAAAAAAAAAAAAGTATATTAGTAATGTCCTTTATATTGTATTATATATCTTCTCTCCTTCAGCCTTTGTCTCCCTCCGTTGAATTAATCCGATCGTAATTCTGCTCTCTGAACCATTGGAAATTGCTGTGACATCAGAAAAAGAATATGTTGCTTCATAAGAAATTATTATTTTGCAGGGGTACCTCCAAGAATATCGAATATTCTTCTGGCGTAGAATCTTTGTATATACTGCAAACGGTTTTCTTTTAGCCCTAGTATAGTATGAGATATCCGGAAAAATCATAATATTAGTATATGAATCATTCAATCTATTAAGTCTAACTGCTTTTAAGGCATGTTCTTTCATTTTATAATTCTATGGCATCTTTCCAGAAAATTCAATGGATTTGTCATTTGGATGCCTAGTTGCACAAAGAGCTCCATTATGTGTTCTTGCAATATATCATTATGAATAGATTCTGGGATACCACAAATTCTTATTACGCCGAGACCTGTCTTCAAGATCTGCAATTTTGAGTTCCAATTCAGCTATTTTTTTATTTGCTTTTTTCATATTATCTTCTGCAGAAACTTGCTGGAATTCCAGAGCTTCTAATTTTTCTTCATTTAGCTTAAATTTTTTTTCCAGCTGTAATAGCTCCACCTTGAATTCCATAAGACCTTCATGGATCCCATTTTTAATCTTGTCTAATTGGCGTTCAAAGCAGGCCTCAAGGTAACTATGTAATTCTTCAGAACTATATTCTTTAGATGACAATTTTCTTTTTGGTAGACTCTTTGGCGACAAATTATCGGATTCTTTAAGTGATTGAGATGAGGAGCCCGAGGCATTCTGATGGTCTATTTCTTGTTTCTGGGTTAGCAGTGGAGCTGAAAAGGAGAGCCTCCTATCAGTCTTGCCTTCTTGTTTCTTTTCTCTGTCCCTCTTGGTAAGCTGTTTATTGTCTTGGCCTTTCCTTGCAGCCATGACGAGAGAAAAAAAAAAACAGACGACCTTTTCGGCCTTTTTACTTTAGTTGCAGGTGTTATTGCACTAAACAGCGTTTATATCAAGTTATCAGAATAGCATTTTACTGCCTTGCCGGACCAGAGATGACCCCAGGTGTGTGCGGCCGCCACGATGGGATAAATTTCGAATAGGGCTGACGTCTCCCTGAATCCTGGCAAGGCATCCGTCTCAGCGGGCCAGTGACCCCTGAACCAGTGGTCCCCGAAGATGGCTGCGAAACCAGAGTTGGCTGCAGCGTCTGTGTGGATGATGGGTGAACAAGTGGAGAGAGGGGGGATAAACATGGAGATACCGTTCCAATCTGCCAAAAACTTCCCCCACATAGCTAAGTCGGCCTTTGCGTGGGGGTCCAAAGAAACTGGGCAAGAGTCTGGTACCCCATGGAGCAGGCAAAGAAGCCTGGATATAAAAGACCTTCCCTGCGGGATGATGCGCATGGCGAAGTTAAGGGATCCCAGAAGGGACTGAACATCATTCTGCAGGAACATGTCTATCTCCCCTCTCAAGCGGATCAGTTTGTCATGGGGAAGGCTAGCTCGGAGGGTAACAGAGTCAAGCTCTATCCCCAAAAAAGTTAATTTAGTTGTGGGGCTGATTGTTTTTGATGGAGACAATGGTACACCAAGTGTGGAAAAAAGTGATGTAGTATTGCGGATAGCGGTGGGTGTTTGTGCCCCTGGCTCTATCAGTAAGAAGTCGTCTAGGTAATGGATAACAGAGTGACACCTGAGGACGTTCAGAAGCAGCCAGCATAGCATCTCAGCGAAGATATTGAACAGTTTGGGGCTGCTTCTAGAACCAAAAGTGAGTCGAGTGGAGAAGTAGTACTTTTCTCGCCATTTAACACCGTGCAAGTGCCAGAGTGAGGGGTGCAGGGGTAGTAATTTGAAAGCATTTGTGATGTCCATTTTGCTGAGCCAGGGGCGACTACCAGATAAGATAATGGATTGTATGGAGTCGTCAATTGTTACATACTGAAGTGAGAATTCGTCTGCAGGTATGAGTGCGTTTATGCTGGGAACAAAAGAGGAGTGCGGTGCCGGTAAATCAATAATTAGACGTTTTTTATTAGAATATTTGTGTACTGCAACACCAATAGGGTTAGTGCGCCAGGAGGAAAACGGCGAGGAGGTGAAGGGGCCGATCATGAATTCGTTGGTAATTTCGGAGGAAAGGAGAGTGTCCGTGGAAATTGGATCTTGGCATGCTGACAATAAATTGGGGCATTCCAGTGTGCCCGTGGGGATGGCTACAATACCCGTGAAGAACCCCTGTGTGAATTGAGTGGTCAGATATTCCACCAAATGACTGCTAGGGTGTGTCCTTAGGTAAAAAAACAGGTTGTCGACATTGATGTCGGTTAGTCATTTGTTAGGGGACAACCTGGCCATGCACATGGTCTTGGTATGTGCCCTAAAGCATATAGAACAGATGTGCAACAATCTACAGGTGCTGAAACTGCAGGAACCTGCGTTGAAATTATTGCACACCTGGGCTTTACCTAGGGAGGAGATGGGCCTACCCAGCTTATCACGTAGATCGCCTGCTGATTTGTTGTGAGGGGTGAAAGTGGGATTAAGGGTGGGAGTGGAGGTGGTGGGATAGGCTTCTGACATGTCTGCCGTATGAGATGTGGAGTTACATACGGCGCAAGACAAGGGCCTGAGACCAGCGAAGTGGCGACAGAATAGTTCTGTGTCCATCTGACACCAGGTAATTCTGACATTGAACTGTTTCAGATGGGTCGCTGCCTTCGCTGATACCGACTTATGATAGTCGTAAAAAGAGAAGCCCCCGTACTTGATGCCTAAATCCACCACCTTGTGGAGGTAGAGGTCTAGCTTTTCTCTTCTGTGGGGATACACCGTGCAGATGACATCACGGTATATCTCAAAGGCAATCACGAACTGAGGTATAGTTAGTTTTTTGTTGAGTCTGGGGTCATAGTCTTAAGCATCACAGAGATGTCCCCGTAATTGTATGCCCTGTCCTCAGTATGTCTTGGAATGCTATAAGCAGAGACACCAGACACACGTCCTTCCCATCTAAGATTTCTTTCCTGATGGAGTCTGGGACGGAGTGAGCTGTGGCTGGTGCTGGAGGAGGGAGTATTGGGGGGCATGGTGGTACAGCAGGGACTGCCGGGGTGGCGACTGGGAGACCCGGGGTATTACCTGGGGAGGTGATGGTGCTCTCCACCTTAGATAGTCTGTTGTTTAAAGTCTGTAAGTTGGCCAAGATTGCTGGTAGGGTATCCTGGGTGGACGTGTTAGCGCTTGGTGGCTGTCCTTGAGAGTTAGTGCCTGGCCTAGGTTCAGGGGCTTGGTAGGTGAGCAGTCTGTAGAGTTCCACCTTTCTAGCCGTAGCTGGAAAGGGGATTTCCCTGAGCCTAAGTTTGGCCGTAATTTTAGGGATAGTCCATGCTCTAAAGGACGTGGGAGTTGAGGGGGTGAGAGATTTGCATGGAGACTCTGGTCTGATGGGCGTAAACGGGATCTCCTCGGGCAACTCTTCGATGGGGGCTGGTTCTTGAGACATTCTAAAAATGATTCAGTGAATGAGATATTAGAAGGTGAGTAGGGGAACAGGGAGGGATATGAGGGGGGTATGTTATGAACTGGCCTGTAATGCTAATGCCGAAGCGAAAAACTTAACTGTGAATTTTTGATAGGTGAGGCCCTGCTAATGCCAAGTGGTGGTGAGAGGCTCTACCTATGATTTGGCTTAGAGAAATCGTGGCCACAGACGTGGTGGTGGGGTGTTGGCCTCTCGGTGACTGTAAAGAGATTCAAAACGTGTGGCCGTGACAGGTGAGGCCCTGACTACAGCCCTGTAGTAGGGCGTGCAAGGCATATAACTATGATTTGGGCGTGGGGCCATACCTCCGTGTTGAGGTGGGAGATGGCCTCGCTGCCCCCCCCCATTATTTTGATGGCCCCCACCCACCGCGCAGGGGTGGGGACGGGGAGAGGACAGTAGGTCCTCCCCCCATTGCGGTTTATGGCCCCCACCCACCGCGCAGGGGTGGGGGAGGGGGGAGGACAGTAGGTCCCCCCCAGTGTGTATCAGGGATCCTTAGGATAGGTGTCAATCCATATCTGCCAAGTGACCCTATGTAGGAGGAACAGTCTCTATTCTGCTCTGTGTCAGCGTGTATCATGATCTCTGAGGACAGGTGTCAATCCATATCTGCCAAGTGACCCTATGTAGGGGGAACAGTCCCTATTCTGCTCTGTGTCAGTGTGTATCAGGGATCCTTAGGACATGTGTCAATCCATATCTGCCAAGTGACCCTATGTAGGGGGAAGAGTCTCTATTCTGCTCTGTGTCAGTGTGTATCATGATCTCTGAGGACAGGTGTCAATCCATATCTGCCAAGTGACCCTATGTAGGGGGAACAGTCTCTATTCTGCTCTGTGTAGTGAT